GCGTGATAATCATACCAAGTTTCACGAAAGTCAGTCAGTTAATGTTCTTAATATTGGTATTTGTACATGAATCATAGATGAGAGAGACGGAGGATGTTCCCTAACACGATAAAAAAGAACACTTATTTTTTTCGAAATCGTGGGTACATTATTTGAAATGTTGTCCCTCTGTCGGTGGCTTCCTTATCCCTGCCGGTTTCTCTATGGGCTCCTCTGATATGCAGGAAAGTAAAGCTATCCCCGTACCAGGCCGTGAAGGCCCATAGGGTTGTGAGGCGTTGAGGGTCCCACAATCGGCTCATAGATGGCGGTAAGGTTGTCAGCCTTACGCGCCGGCCGCGCTTTACTCCCCAGGAAAATTATTCAATTAATTCGTGGTACTCATTTCTGTTAGAGGCTGAATAAACCTCAGGGCCTAGTCCGGCTGGAAGGATTATGTCAACTAAAAAAATCCAATGACCTCATCGGGACTTGAACCCGCGACCTTCCGCCATGTAACATAGCTCCTCAACCACTACCCTACCGCGTGCCCCCTGATAGGTAGTGCACTGGCAATTATTCTGCATAGATAATTTTAATAATATAGGTCAAAATATTGTATTGTCTTGCACTCTTTGTCGTTTGGGTTAAACACACTGCTGTAAACTTATATCAACTTGCCAGTAAATATACATATAAATTAATCACAATAGTTAACAATTACCGGTCTAGAAAACCGAACCTAACGTCCGTGGGGATCCGTTGCGCTGACCACGCGACACCCTCTATCCGCTAAAGTTGACACTAACTTCGCCGACAAGCGGCGGTCGCTCGATCGGTATAGTTCGCTTGCGGACTAAAGCCAAGGAGTTTAGTTTAGTTAACAATTACGCGTGTAGTATATAATCAAGTCTTGTGTCTAACCGCAAGTTCGAAGTATAGAACTGGCCTGAACGCATACAAGCCTGCAGGTATGACAAGCGCTTTCCTTCGATTGCAGCGTCTGTTCCATCAAGCCCTTTCCCTTGCCAGCAATTAAAACCTCTTTTCAGTTGTTTAACCATGGCTTAGTGTTTGTATCACCTGCGGGTGGCAGAATACACTTCGGCAGGAGTAAAGTTCCCGACAAACACAGCCTCAATCCCCGCCATCTTCTCGGGTGCACGCCTCGTTCTAAGGCACTGCTTAACTGTTTCAGGTGATCTGGGGCGATTCTCTGCTTCTTGCAAATATTAACTTAGGGGCACGTTTTCACTTAGGCGGTCCGGTACGGTTTATATAATATTTCTATATGTCAGCTCGTAGGGTGTTGAGAATGTCTGGACCGAAGAGGAATGAAGCGATAGGCGCTTGGAGACAGTTGCTTAATGAGGAGCTTCATAACTTGAACAAATATTATGTTTGTGGACATTATCCGTCGTCTTGTTTTTTTTTATTTAAAAACAGCGTTTCGGGGACTAATTCTGTCTTCGTTTTCAGCTAGAACCTACTCATTTGGGCCCAATCGATAGAGCTGGTCCCTATATCGTGATATTGGGACCAACTTATATAGGTTTTACCTGAAGACGGGACAGAATCTAGTCTCCGAAACGCTGTATTTTAAGTAGAAACAGAACGGTGTTTAGATAAAAAGGACGATGCGAAACGTCCGAAATATAATATTTTTATTAATGTACCGTCGTCGGAAACTTCTAGATCTTTTACCCTTCACCAAGTGAAATTAGAATGATCCAGAAGGAAAGAGACCACTGGGAATACCTAGACATATATGGGAAGGCAACAATAAGATGGATATTAGGACTTGATTGATCTGGCTCAGGATAGGGACCAGTGGATGGCCCGTGTGGACACTCTAATTAACCCCCGGGTTCCATAAAATATTAAGAAATTCTTGAGCAGCTGCGCAACTGGCGGCTTCTCAACTCTGTGAAGTTAGTTATATGCCAGAACGGGAGGATATGTTCTTGGGATTTGCGTACCTGATCGCAACTGATGTTCATATATTGCAAATAAAAATATGAACATTTGAGGTCTTCTGGAATGTGGCGCCGTGTAAATATTTTGTTAACCGACGTTTCGGAGGAACGTATCGCCTCCGTCTTCAGGGTAGAAAAAAAATTCGCTAGCGAGGAACCAGCGTGAGCAGGTGCATGCAGCCACATGCTCACGTTGGTTCCTCGCTCGTGGATTTTTCTTGTCTGATACGTTCCTCCGAAACATCGGTTTACAAAATATCGACACTGCGCCACATCCCAGAAGACGACATTCTTCAAAAACATGTTTTTACATACAAATCTAATGTGAGGAAAACCGCACTGCTGATTTAACACTGCAAGAAGCAATTGGCAGACGTTCATGAGATCTATATTTTGCGTTATGTAGGGCTACCTGATTTGTTTAAGACGAGAGTTCGAAATATACTGTCTTCTTGGGAGTTATACCGTGGCCTTTGGTAGATAGATACCAACGTTTCGAAGGGACGCTATTCTTCCATCTTTAAGCGTTGTTATGCCCTGAAGATGGAGCTAAGAATTTCCATCGATACGTTGGTACCTCTCTAATGAACTACACCCCATTAAATGTGTGTTACTTGTCTGTTGTCTTACTGTAGTACCACTGACACCGGGTGAAAACCCATTTGCGGTTAAATAGTAATAATAAAATCCCAAAAGACAATAATATTTTTAGTTACTCCTCATATAATTCGATTTGAGCTTCTTGTAAAGTGTTGGGGGGGGGGAACTCACGCTTACCAATTAGGGCCGGGTGTGAACCGGGAACCTCACGTTCCTTCCGAGTAAGCCTAGCCACTTAGACTTTGGGTCTGAACTCTGAACCATACGCTCGTGTTTATATTCTCCAAGCATAAAATGTTTGTTTTTCTTTAGTTTAGTCACCTGCACCGCGTTTAAGGTAACAAAAGGACCGATAATATTTTGCAAATGTCCAATTCAGTTGGATAAATACTTCCTGTCCGTCGTTTAGACACCGAAACGTCAGCGCCACCGGACATAAATAAAAGCTGACGCGTTTCCTTCAAGCCCAAGTGGCAAGTGTGGGTGTTGTTATGCCCCTCCTTGGTTATAGATAATCGATGTGCCGCGTCGTCACATAATGACAGTTGAAACTCGTCTTCATTTCTCCGTTCCGTTTCGTGAATGCTTTGTGCCGTTCGCCACAAGATTGTTATTATCATTTTGTTTTTCTTTTTCTGTACTCGTGCTGACTTTGTAAATTGGCCTTCGGGCTGTTAAGTGAATAAATGAGAATTGAATATCTGTTGTCAAGCACTTTAATGATTGAATTTTATTAAATTATTACTGTTATTTGTCGTTATTTTTGTTAATGAAAACTCGTATAGAATCACAGTCAGATCGTGAAGGTCTGACTCCACTGGGGGGATCACAAACTGAGGGCCTTTCTAACAGAATTCTACGGATAATACAGGGTGATTCATATAGAACCGGCCCAACGATGTGAGGTGTAATATAAAATATACCATACAGATATTAAAGTAATTTACACATATCTTATCTTGGATTGTGTGCCGTGATCAGAGCAGGTGTTGAAAGTGTCCGCCCTTTTCAAGTAGGCACTAGAAACACTCGCTGTTCAACAGTGAACTCCATGACTGTCGCCTGCGCACTGTAGACACGTTTCGGCATTGTCCTTGACCTTGCGGCATAAGGGCTGCCACTTGCCGGATCATGCGCACACCATTCGACTCAGCACGGCCCACGGATTATTGTATCGTAATTGTGAGCGGTTATATGCATCGCCTGCGGAATTATTAGCAAATTCATCGGGCCGGTTCTATACGATTCACCCTGTATTTGGGCCTAGGTTAGCCGATGTAATCCGAGGTTAGAGGAACTAGCGAAGAACTACATAATATGTACTCTACACATAATACTTTTAGAGTAATTAAAATCTGGAGGAATGAGACAGCTCGGATATCGAACACGCATGGAATAAGCCAGAAATGCATACGGAACTGTAGCCAGAGAACCTCAAGTTAAGAGGCAGCTGGGGAGATCTTGGCGTAGGTTTGCAGATAATACAATCATATCTCTTGGAGAAGGAAGGTATGTGTTGAACCGAAATAGCTCGAGTTACGGTCCGGATGGTATGTGTTGTGAAAACTGGCGAAACTTTAGGTTATAATCTAATTAACTAGGCATTTCACCATCAGTTACGTGACTGCTGTTTTAGATACATTTGATAATCGGTACATCGTTAGATTTGTGAGACTTCACGTAAGTAACTTTCCTGGTACTTCACGACAGTGATTGCTTGGAGCTGAAAACCGGACTTAGATTTATAACTTCAATATAAAATCGCTTTTATAATTATTGTTATGTGAGAATCCAAGTTCCCGGATATCACGGTGTGAACACTGCTGATCTAGGTAGGGCCAGAGATTTTGAAGTTCATATCCACTGCAGTCTTGTAATTACCGGCAGTAATTTTGAACTTGAGCCGGTCTAAGGCATGCACTGTCTTCGCTCGCTTGGAAACCGGGATCGTGGGTTCGGATCTGTTTCCTGTGAGGTACGAACTGAATTATATATTATTCTTATACACTGCCGGTCACGGTAGCCGAGCGGTCTAAGGCATGTACTGTCTTCGCTCGCTTGGAAACCGGGATCGTGGGTTCGGATCTGTTTCCTGTGAGGTACGAACTGAATTCTTATATATTATTCTTATACACTGCCGGTCAC